TACATGCCATAAATAAACAAGAGCTAACCACTCAAAGCCTGATGAAAAACCCTGTGAATTTCACTTTCTTCCACACTCCAATTCTTTAAATCTCAAGGTTCCTTCCTCAAAAAAAAAAAAAAAAAAAAAGTGTGGATTTGGTGAGTTCTTATCAAAAGCTGAAGCAAGCAAAATTCTTTCCCATCCCTTACCTCCCTGTCCTCTAAAAGTGATGAGAAATATTTCTTTCAAGCAGGTCTACACTGTAAAGTCAGGCTCAGATGGCATGTCAACCATAGATGTATGCAAGTGACTGTCCATGCTTCCAATTTACTCATGTCATCAAAGTGCTGTTACCAGATGTAATCTTTTTGTATAGGAAGAAAAGCCAGAATCTGACACTGAATCCTCACCTGATGTTGCACGGCTCATCTGAACAGACAACTTGCACAGGCAGGTATTATGAGCAAGCTAACTAAAATTATACCTTGAGCTTTCAGTGTCCGTTAGCATAGAGAGTCATTGACCAGCATCCCAATTCAACAGTGGAAGACTTGCCACAGTATCAAGGTAGATATAAGAACTGAAAGGAGAGCAGGAATGAGCTTCGGATAAATGACTTAAGTCAGCCACTGGTTACAGATAGCGGAAGTTCTAAATAAGTGTTTGGAAGAGCTAACTGTCTCTTAGGTCTTAGCAGGCGGAAAGGTAATGCTAGAAAGTACTTGCAGGCTCAAAGAACCATAGATACAAGGTCTGCTTGAGGAATTCAGTTGTGTGGGCTGGCCTAATATACATTTTCTGGACTAAAATATGGATTAGTGTTAGTTATTTTTCCAACTGTTTCACTTTCTAAATGTTTCAACATAGTTCTCAGCTCAAAAGAGTATTTCAAAATATGCATTTAGAAATGCGTATTTCAAAAGAAAAAGTTAAAAGAAAAACTGTGTTATTTAAAAAGGTATGCTAATACACATTTTTCTGCCATTTTTAATGATATGGGGTGCAATGCATTATGGGTGCAACCTTTTGAAAGTGACACAGCCCAAAAATTGGAATATTGCTCATCCCTATTTAACATAATGCCGTGAAGATGATATATGACTGGATCCAGAGGAAAGAGCTGCTGCAAGATTGCTTTTGCTGTTCTCTTCTCAAGATTGTATGGTGGGGGATATGCATCTACTAGGAATATGGAAGTATCCTGCTTTGTATAGACTCCTGAATAAGTTGACATCCACATTATATGGAAAGCTTCCTGTAAAGCATTGAACCCTTTTCTTTGAATTACTTTTGCTTTCATATGAGTGCAGTCATTTCTCAGAACCGCATTCAATTTACAAGCGTTAAGGCATGTATGTGTTTCAGAGTACTTTGCTTTCATCTCATGTGCGCCTGCACTACATTTGTAACTCTGAACAGCTGTTCTTAGCACAAATCAGACTGGAAATGCATAATGCTCCTACGTGTGTCAGGTTGTATACAAAAGAATGGAGTAGTCTTCCATTTCCTTTTAAATTTAAGGGATCAACGGGTCCATCCTACAGGTAGCAAACTGACACACGCCCCATTTCTAATGCATTGAAAAGTACCTTGCCTGGAAATACATTTCATTTTTTTAAAAAATGAGAGGGTGTAGTTACGATGTTGATCGCAGGGAGTGGAATAAACAAATTAAGAGCTTCAGGAGTATGCCTGAATACAAGGGCTTAAAGTATACAGAGGTTCAGGACAGGGTTGCTTCTGAGATCTCTAGGTGTGCCCCTCCAAACATTTCAGTTCTAAGCTTGCCATATAAGGCCAGCAAGGTCTAAAGGGGATTCGAAAAACATTAACTGGGATGTGAGTAACTCTGTGTGAGCAGAAATCCTGATAAAGAGGACTCTGTAATCACATAAGATAGCTCTATTCCATTCACGCAAACTTAAGTAGAAGTTCTTTTCAGTCTTTGCCAGTTCAACATGGTAAAGTCTGAACTAGGGATCTGTGACGGAGCAAAAGTGGAGCTCACCAAGGTTCTCTAAATTTCATCTCAAAGTCCATTCCAGTGCAAGCCCATATCCTGTTGAAAGTTTTGTTTCTTCCTTTCACATGAAGACAATGTGTATATTTTCATTCTTATTTGTCTAAATGTATGCGGCAATTATGTGCATTTCTGAAATGTGCACATTCTTCTTCCATTGATTAAAGTGCATTTGTGCACATTTTTCAAAAGTACACAAGACATATTTTAGATGCTCTTTGGGGTGGGTGGGCATGAATAACAATGAAAGCTGAGAAATGCATAGACTTTAGCAGCAGTTTGTGTCATAAGTAGGTTTCTCCCTCTGTCTTTTCTTCTCAAGCTACTCAAATGAGATTTTAGAAGCAAGTCCTTTTATTAAACCTTAACAAGATGCAAAGCAGAATAAATCAAAGCAGTGTTCTCATTGAGATGTAGAGAAAGCAACTGTCCATGTCAAGAGTTGAATAAAAATTGAAACCTCCCTTCCCTTTTCCTTTCCTTCCCTTCTCATGCTCTGCCTGAGTATCTTCATCAGGTAACCTTGAAACTGCAAAGTTACCTGCCAGCTCTGTTCCCAGCTTCCACCACAGGACTGGACGAATCTAGCTGAGCAGCTTGTAACATGCAGGAGCTGGAACCCCTCTCTGCATGAGCTCCAGTCTTGTGACACCTCCCCTTCCCAACCTTTGTTTCCCTCCTGGCTTCTGTGGGTAGTGATGAGGAAACTGCCAGATCAGGTGGGTGACATGAAGAGTCCCCACAAGCTATCAAGAGCCCACAGTCTTTCCAGTCCACTAGATACTGTAAACAGCCATGGAGGCAACAAGCTTCCAGGAGGTCTGCCAGCTCAAATTCTTCCTCCAGAATGGAGAGTGTAGGAGAAGAAAGGGAGTGATGAGGGTCCCCAACAAAGGAGAAAGGAGACAGGAGAGAATGGTGGAAAACGATAATTTTCACAGAAGGGTCAAGCTTGGAAGTCATTTGGTTGATCTGTGTCACAATGTGTAAAGGCCCAGTACAGCAAGCTGCAAGTTTCTTGCAGAGTGGGCCCGAGCACATGCTTGATCAAGAAAGTGCAAACTGGGTAAATCCTGATAAAAACAGACAGAAATGAATGCCACCCTGTTTCCTTGCATGAACAGAGGTGGACAAGGCTATCATGCCAAGATTTAGAGGATGGAGCTAGCATTCACAGCCACGAAACTCTAACTGCTCACAGGTTTTGGCAAATGCCTAAACTGGGCTAAGTTGGTACCATTTAATGGAATAAGTCCTGTTTATCACAGGTAGGAAATTTAGAGTGTTATATCTACACAAGCTGATCCAGGAAAAGATAGTCACCTTACATATGTTGCATAATAACATAACAATGTAGCCCTATACCTCTCCACTCAGTAGTAAGTTCCATTGAGTTCAGTGAGATTCCCTCCTGGGTAATTACATGCAGGAAAGCAGCGTAAGAATTGCCTTTCTGAATCTGACCAAGGTTCATTTAGTCCAGCACCCTGTTTCGATAAGGCAGGGATGGGAAATGCAGCTGTTGCTGGCCACTCTACCAGCTTCTACAGCACAGAGGGGGAAAAGGGGATCCTACAAGTGTTTCATGGCTAAAGCCTCTTGGAAGCATTCTGATCCTAGTCCTAATTCTGCTGTCACCAAGAAGCTTGCCTCAGAAACAAAGCCATTGGTTTGGGTTTGCCTTTGTTTTTACAACACTCAGTTCATTCTGAGCACGGCATCAGACACAACACAAGGGTGACAATTAATGGCACCGTCTGGAATTTGAATAGTATATAGATCAAATGTTCTAGGTTTGCTAAGCTCCTTCTCATTTGACCAAGAACAGATGAGTCTCTTGGCTGCCAACACCAGTAATAATTGTGTCTCATATATCCTGAATCAGACATCTTTAAGTGACCAGTCAGAGAAGACAATGAGAAAACAGTGGTGTGACCTCCACTGTACCTAGGAAGGCTCTCCCTGGCTCTCACAGTTCTGCCCTTGACACTGGTGAACTTCAGTCCTCCTTGATTAATTTGGTCCCATAACACTCAAACGGAGATCTGCATTACCAAGAGAACAAGGCACAGGCAAGTACCAAGTCTATTGTTCTTTATTTCAGAAGCTGAGCTCAGCATGCTTCTGCAAGGCCATCGTGGAGTTGCCAAGCATCTGACTGAGGATATGCATCAGCATGAAAGTCTGTAGAGTAAATCTGTCCTTCTGGGGGCCCCAAGCCAGCCAGAAATTCTCCAGATAGTTAGGACCTTTCCCTTCGACCTTTCTACCAACCACCAATCATTTCTTGGCTTTTGTGCCATTTTTCTCTCATTCTTAAAGGCTGAAATGCTTCTCCTAAGGCTTTGTGACTGGTAGTAAGAGGCTTTAAAGCAAACAATGCTAGTATTTTGGCCTTGCCCCTTATGCTTTCAGCTCCAACCATCCCTGAAGTGTGGCCCTCAAGAGCTTGTGCAAAATGAGATTTGGCTGTCTTTCTAAAAGTGTTTCAGCACCCTGCTGGATAACAGGCAGCGTCCATCGCCCTCAGGCAGGTCTGTTTTCCACAGTATGAACTGACTCTTAGCAGCTCCTAGAAATGCTGAACAAATGCAAAATGAATTCAAACAAGCTGCGATTTTTATGCATCCAACCTGTGATTTCCACAGTGGACCAGCTTTTTCAGAGTCACAGAGATTCTGTACACTTCTGAATGGGTTATACAGTTCTAAGTAAGGGGCATTCATGCTAATGTGCATTAATGCTAATACACACTTACACCAATTACTACTAATTAGTACAGAGAGTGAATTCTGGTGAAAACGTCCAATCCCATCAATGAGCGGCTGATGGAACAAAAGAAGACAACCCTTGATGTAGAGATGGAGGAGATTTACCCAAATCTGTACATCCCTAGCTAGCCATGATTATTCTAAAGGGCCTCTTCTCAGCAGTGAGAGCTCGCATGCCCATGGTGCTGTTCAGTCAAAATTCAGCTCAGGACTCAATGTGGACTTACCCCGCTCACATGTTCTGCCCCAGTAGCCGGTCCCAGTGCAGTCACAGATAAACCGGTTCCAGCCATCTTTGCAGATAGCGTTGTTCTTGCAGGGGTAGCTGTCACACTGCTTGGTGTTCACCCGAATGCAGGAGGATTTGACGCCCGCAGCATTCTGCTGCTCTGCCAGCTGCCGGATGTTCTTGCTCCTTCCGTCAATGAAGAGGTCCCGGATGCAGCCCACATAGCCATAGTTCAACATGGCTGTCCAGAGTTCCGTAGGGAGGACAAGGCCTGCCCGGTTTTCAGGCAGCCCTCCAAGGTACATGTCCCCTTCCAGATCCAGGATCTCACTCTCCCCACTAGCAGTGAATGGTGTTCTTCTGCTGTTCACCGATATGGTACCTGAGAGGGAACAGAAGCAAGGAAAGGGGGAATTCAAGCTCTGCTGGCAAGCCCAGTTCAAGTTTCTGTGTGGTCTGAATATTGGTGAGAAACGAGGGCTTTGCTACAGGAGACGAGAGATTCTGGCTGAGGCAAAACCTTGACACTCAAGAGGACTTGTGCGGAAGGTCTTTGCTGCCCTCTACCAAACCTGCCAGACAGTCTAGTCACGGGGTAATAAAACCAAGATGCTTGGAAACATATGAAGGACATCCAGTCCAATCCTCTGCAGTGCTGAAGGAATTAGAAAAGGCTATTTTTACGCATGGCCTTGGAAGCTCCTACAAAAGCAACCTGTCACTCTGATGCAGAATAATTTGGGCAAGACGATCAGCTATTTCTCTTCAAATGCAAAAGGTGCAGCAATGCAGGACAGCCCTGTCTTTCTGCGCACTTGTGTCAGGGCACACATGTTGATACTGTGGGTTCGCCCCCACCTTTCAGGGCATATGCCACAGCTTCGCTGCATGCCTGCAGACAAGCCCCATCTGGGTCACAGAATCACTGCATATTTAGCTCACAGAGAAGAAAAGGGGAAGAGGGATTACTCAGCCATAGCTCTGTGACAGAGCCCATACTTTGCAGGCAGAAGGCATCATGCTGTGCAAAGTCTGGAGCCAAGCAGGGCCCACCTCCCCTTCCCCACCAAGACAGGTGTCCCATCTCCCACCCCCCACATTTGGCCCCACAAGCGCTGGCCTTGCTCTGCCCCAACCTCTCTTTCAGACTGGCTCGGTAGAGGAGGAAGAAATGGGGCACTTTTCTTTGTGGCACCCCAACAAAAGAGGGAGCGGAGCCATCTGGCTACAGTGCTGGGAAGGCAAATGTTGCAGGGGCAGCGGCATGGTGGAGCCCTCAGGATGCTGGGCTGGGACTCAGGAGACCAGGCTTGAGCTCCGCTCAGCCCTGAAGTTCACTGAGTAACTTTGGTCTAGTAGATGATCTTCAGCTAACCTACCTCGCAGGGTTGCTGTGAGAACAGAATGGAGAGGAGGAAGCAAACCATAGATGCCAGCCTGGCCTCATTAGTGGAAAAGGGTGAAAAAAGTAAAATGCCCACTTGCTCATTCAGGCACTGGGGCCAGAGTCTAAAATGACTGAACTGTATCACTGCATTCATGCACTGACACGAAATGTCCAAGTGTCAACAGTAGCTAGATAGAAATGTTTGCCTTTTGTGCAGGGATCACCATTTGAAGTCAACTGTGGATAAAATAAAGCTAGGATAGAGTTCTACCTTTAAGTAGGTTGACAAGATGCAACGTTCTCCATCAGCTAAAGCTTGGGGTGATAACATTTAAGACCCCATTATTCTGAAGCAGGAGAGCACAGCACAAGCATAGCTCTCTACCTCCCACTGAAATCAATGGGACAAAAATGTGCCAGGCTATGGCAGGATTCAGCACTTTTTAATCCATGCAGAGTCCGGCACTTCTCAGTCCTCTTGAATATGGCAGGAACGAGGAGACCGATACTGAAATCTGCTTCAAATAGATGGGCCTGTGATGGCACAATCCTATATAAATATCTGCTCAGAAGTAAAGCCCATGAGATCAAGGCTTTACTCTCAGTGGTCCAAAAGCTGCAATACTACACCCATTTACCAGTGAATAAACCCCAAAGAACACGATGAGATATATTACTAAGCAGATGTACATCGCATTGCAGAACTCTGCCTGCTTCTTTTACAGTTCTTATGAATGTCGCTGTCCAGCAGCTAGGTATACAACCATATGCGTAAGCAAAAGATCAAGCAGTGGAAATGAATGCTTTGGATTGAACTGATCTTGGAAAGCTAATCAAAAGTGAGCCAACCCGAGCAAAAAGAAACAATGACTTTGCATCCCTGTAAGATGCTGCAGTCTGTATCAACCAGCTTCAGGTGATGCAAAATCCCTAATATTAAAACTTGCAGGTTAAAAAGCGAAAGCAAAATCCTGCCAGGACTAGCCCTTTTCGACTTGCTTTTTCTGCCAAGGAAAACTTAAGTAAATGAGTGGATACTGCATTATCCATCAAAGTTAAACTGTTTAAAGGCTGCTAGTTCCAGCATCAATCCCACCATATTTTGTGTCAAAATTCTTGACATCTTAATGAGGCACATGGATTATGTATTTCTATTTCTGTTGTAACAGTAAGTGCACATCTGTAAAAAAAAATCTGAGTGACAGCATGTAGTCCTACTACCAATAGGCAAGTCACTGAATAATCTGGAAAGGACTTTATTTCTCCATCTCCAAGAGGAAATTAAATAGTTCTATCCTGAGTCCATTCCAAAATTCACCTCCCCCTGTCTTATTGATCAAAAACTTTTATATACCATTCTAGAGTAAAAACTCTCAGAATGGCATACAATCAGTCTAAACATTAGAACGAAGCATATCAATAACACAGTAATCATAAAATTTCAAATATAAGCAACAACAATCAAACAGATAAATAATGTGTCTATCTGGACATACTCAGAAGCAACACAGGAATATGCATGTCTGCCTGAACCAGGTCCCTTCCCACAACTCAGCACCCACATTCCTCACAACATATCTGGTAGTTTATGTGGCAAGAATATTTTATCCTTCTTTGAAGGATTTTTGAAGGTCCGTGGTACCATAGTGCACCCTTCTCCAACCTGGTGACCCTACGGATGTTTGGGGCTTCCACTCCATCCAGCAAGATCAGTGATAAGGAGTGCTGGGAGTTATACCCTGAAACATCTGCAGGGAACCAGGCTGTGGTAGGCTGCTGTAGAGAAAGAAGGTGTCCCTTCCGTTTCCCAGAAATTTATCTTCATACCTGATCTGCCATCTCTTTGAATATCAACATGATACCATTCTCCATCGTTAGCTTTTCTCTGAGTGGCCTTTACTTTGACAGTTCCAGAGCCCATGTCAAGAAGCAGGTAGAGATTTCCATCCAAGAGTTCCACAGCAAAGAAATCCACTTTGGTGTTCTTCTGACTTCTGGAATCCTTCCTCTCCTGAGGTTTTCCATGGGTGAAGAGTATGAGGCCATTGGGCTCTGTGGTGCGGAAGTCAAAGGAGATAGACCCCATCCGCTTGGTGTTCCATTTAGGCAGGCTAATGTAGGCCTCAGGTGTCTCAAAGTTGATGGGGTCCAATGTAGCCACATTCTCGCATGTGAACTTCACCTCCCCATAGATTTTCATTTTTGTGTCACCAATCCTTGCCAAGCGAGACAGCTCCAGACGGATGTCATTATTCTTATAAACAACCTGTCAGGGATAAGGAAAAAGCCATACATCAATCCAGATAATAATGCACACTTCAAAAAGAAGCACCCAAAGATAGGGAAGTGTGGGAATTTTGTTTCTGTCCATAAAACATGTGAACATGTCCCGTTCACAACCCTACATGCAAATGTTAGCAAGAACAGAATTATTGGGATTTCTTTTTTTTTTTTTTTGCAATTTCCCAAACTTGTGTGTGCATTAAAAAATGTGCACTTGCACATTAGCCTATATTTTCATGTTTTAGCCTATTGGAGAGGATGAACTTTTTCTGTGTGATTACAGAAAAGAAAAAGATGCTTATCTTGAGGAACATAATCAAGGTGAAATGGAGTTTGAGGGCAAATTCAGAGAACTTCAGTGAGTTTGAAAATCACATTTTTCCCCACCCCTTCTCAAAAAAGCTCTGGGGATAGAGCTTTTGACTCTGAACAAGACCTGTCTCGAAGGAGGAGGAGGAGGAGAACTGGCATTCTGTACCAGTCTAAGATTACAGAGAAACAAGATAGAGCATTCAGAGAAATACAAGTTCCCACTGCCAACTCCAGAGTTTGGGTAATAGTTGGACAATATACCCTTTGTATTCACCCAGTCCTGGAGTGGAGTTACTGCCTTCACGTTGCTGCTGTTTCTCTTGCTTCCTTGCTCTGGACCCAATCCATGTGGCCACCCCGGGGGTGACTCAAGGAGGCCCTGCTGCTACTTCTTCTGTCAGTGTTGACACTCTCTGAGCACGTGAACAAGCAGCAACAGGAAGGAGGAGGAAGAGCAGGGCCAGCAGTCCCAGGGTTTGCTGAGACTTGGGGTTAGCAGCCCCTGCTGCTGCTGAAGCCCAACACAATCGATCACTCTTAAGCTCCATCATGGAAGACAGGATACCACATCCACTGTACGCCTGGAGCCATGATGCTGGATTTGCACAACTGCTGACAACTTGCGTGCGTGACTGCTGCCATTCAGAATTTCCCCATCATAACCACTGCTGAATCCTGTCCTGTCCATCAACATGGGCAAGCCAGGATATGCGTGGACTCCAACATTTTATTACTTAATGGAAAACAGATCTTGTCCTCACAAGGGTTAGAATAGCCCTGGGTTTGGTACAGCGAAAGCTTCAAGCAAACGTACACAGTAAGAGCTGGATGCAATGTGCACACTCCACCTGGATACCCTCTGTGCACACAGCGTTCTGTTTCTGCACATGTGACTTGCAGGCTTTGCATACTTTGCATACGTTCCACAAATAACTATATGCTCTGTGCACTTTGTGCAAAGAACAGCACACTTTGTGTACATTGCATAAAGAAGCTGCTAGTGTCCTGAACATACGTGGACTTGCTTTTGGCTGAGCTCGCTTCCTGGCCAGGGCTGAGTGCAGAAGAGAAATCCAGTGAGCACAAGAAAGCCTGATCTTCACAACTGGTCTCATCTTTGCATCCCTAGAGACATCCTTGTTCATTATTATAGAAGTAACCAAATGTGAGTTTACAAGAGCTGAGCAGGGCTGTCAAGGACAAGACACTTTGTAGGGTGTTCCTTGATAGGGTCACCGTAAATCAAAGATTATTTGATGGCATATAACAACAGTGAAAGCAAATGTGATCCCATTATGTGACTCCACAAGCAACTTTACCGAACGCATTTGAGCTCCACAGCAAGACAGTCATATTCTGACCCACAAAATGATGGCACACATCTGTGCCAAATCAACAGAAAAAAATGCTGAGATTCCAAGTATATTTTACACTCAAGATATCCTCGTGAACTCGTTATTTCTTGTTGAAGGAGAAAACCATGGAAGGGAAGTAATGAGGCCAAACACTTTTTATAGTGAATAGCTTTGCCCTGAAAGAAGCTTATTTGAACTGGAAACATGTGGGGAATCTGAAACTGAATTAATGTCCACACTTTGCATCCATACAGATTGCCATTCAAAGCATTCAAGAACTTCAGGATCAATAGCGAACATGGTAAGACATAAGAACATCAAAAGAGCCACAAGGGTCCATCTAGTCCAACATTCTGTTCCCACAGTGGCGAACCAGTTGATCACAAGATTCCAAAGCCAGGTTATGATAATATAATTTAACAATAAGGTAAGTGCAATAGCACCTTTCTGCCCAAGTTCGCCAGCAACCGATGTGCACAGGTCACTGTCTCGGATTTTATTTATGCATTTATTTATTGCATTTGTATGTCATACCTCATAGCCACAAGGCTGTCTGAGCAGCCTACGTTACATTGCATTACATTAAAAAATGTTAATAAAACAAACCAATACAAACAGTGAATAATAAAAATTTTAAACAACAGCAATGATAAAAATAAGCATTCACATAAAGATAAAATCACATTAAAATAATCAGTTTAAAACAACCCTATCCTAAAAGTATCCAGCAAATAAAATTTCTTTTTCTTAAAGGCAAAAATGAGCCAGACACACTAGTACACATACAGGGGAAAAAAACTTTCTAACTTCCTACTTCCAACCTTCACTTCTTAGTATTATCTTCCTATTTCCACACCTCTGGATACCACTTCCTACTAGCCTTCCTCCTGCAATGCTCCCTACCTATCCTAGCCAACTTCTTATCTTAAATAACCCAGTACACTACAGTGGAAAATTAACTGGATTGTATGGAACTGCCACATGGAGGAGAGAGACACCCCCGTGGCCTGCCTGCTTGACCGGTAGGCTCTTGCTCCTACCTCACAGGCCTGCGCCCTCCTAGCTCACAGGCCCTGTACAAAGGAGGGAGGTGATGGAATCAAGTGGGGCACTGTGATGGGGGGTCAATTAGTGAAGTGATGGGTAGCAGGAGATACAGCATTCCATGGAGGGCTAGCCAAGTAAAGGCGTGTGGCCCAGGAGGTCAGTGACTGCATGTGTTCTGGCTCCCCCTGCAACCACAACGCTTGCCCTGCCGGCCTGTCCCTGGGTCCCCAGATGCTGCTTTTAAATGCCAGATCAGTACACAGCAAGACCTTCCTCATCCATGACTTCATAGTGTTGAGGCTGCAATCCTACACGCATTGAAATTCTACAACCAAACTCAGTGGGACCTAGAGGTGAGCAGATGTGCATAGCACTGACTGTTAAGTCTGCAATCCTATATACAGCTGCTGGGAGTAGCTCTTAGAGACCTGCCTTGGGCAACCCTTTGAGTAGGTGGTGGCAATCCTGTGCTCATTTACATCAGGGGGAGTCCGCCCAACACTGAGGTTTGGGCTGTCAGCATCCTAAAACACTGTCTAACCTGCAAGTCCAAGTCTGAGATAGACTGACTCCATAAAGGAAGCTACAGTCTTGAACTTACAAGATCTTAGCATGGCTGCCATGGATAGGGCATGCTGGAAGGCTTTTACTCGTAAGGTTGCCTTAACTCTAAGACAACTTGACATCACATCACAACAACAACAAAACCGATGAGCATTTATGGAGGTGTAACTGCTAGCACTTACTTGAAGGTAACACACTGAAGACCTGGCTGTTAGAGGCAAAACAGTGAGCTATGTTACCTTTGGACACTGAACGAAGACCTAAAAAGGGAAAAAATAAAAAGCAACGGCCACACAAGAAAGCTCCGTAATGCTTTCCCTCCACTTCTTACACCAAGAATATCGGCAAGTGCTAAGCAATACAGACAACACAATAGCAAAGCGTGTTTATGTCACTTAGAGACTCTCTTGTGTTATACAAGTTTGATTTTGTCTCAATAAACCTTTTTAATCAGATGGCTTTCTCTCCATCCATCAAAAAGGCCTCTCTGCTATCCACTGAAGATATTGAGAGAGAAACTGAGCATGTGCCATACTAGGCAAGCAGCCAATGTGTGGTTTAGTTCCAGGCTGGCAGAATTAAGAAGGGAGCATCTTTGCCTTGGGCACACTGGTGAACACATTCCCTGGAGGCAACGCCCACATGTAATTAGGTGACTTGCCACTAGATGTCCCCATTGTCTTGCAATGGGAACCCAAAGAGCTATTTTCCTATCCATCATATTTTCAAGACAGGTGAAGTTTCCCCTAATGGCACTTTCTAGAAAAGACTTTCATTTGATGCTCTTCTTCAGGAAAGCTGGAGGGTGAGTCCAGCTTAGAGGGCCCACCTGTTTACCACTACCATGGTTCCCTTCCGAGCCCACTCTGCACCACTGCCCCACAAGTGGAACTGCTGCTCCTTTCATCGATCCTGGCATTGCTCTTATGCACTTAGCAAAAGTGGTGAACAGGAAATAGCAGCGAGGAAGAGGCGCAGCTTATTGTGCCACATCCCCCGGTCCTTGTGCCTTCTAGAATGCAGCAGATAACTCCAATGAGGATAAGGCACGGGCTGCTCCCTCAGGAGGCAGGATAATGGGTGCCCTATCCAGGCCCTCCCATCCACACAGCTCCTGAGCACACAGATTTTTGCAGCCTATAGGCTTCAGTTTGCTTTAGTGCCATGCTGAGACAACATCCCCCTATTGTCATAGTAGGAGAGCTGCCCAACCAGCAATGCTCATCCCAAGCTGTTTGAGGTCCTACATTCTTCCTACTTTGATCTTGCTACTTTGAGCTTCCCCTGTGAATCTTGGGGCATCACCAAATGGAATGCTCGGGAGTCGGGACCTCAAAAGACCTAACAGTTTCAAGCCTGATGCTGTTTCTGTCCACATGGGCAGCCTGTTGCATTTAATACATAATTCACATTTCAAGTTTATGTTAGCATTAAGCATCTTTCCTGAATTTCACTGTTCTGAAGTCAGCTTATTTGAAGATGCCTGGAAAAAAAAAAACTACCGGCTGACCATCCATTGTTCTGTGGTGCCCGGCTTCAGAATAATGCCCAGGGCTGCTTGTGCATTTTATGGTCCCTTGATGCTAACTTAAACTGATGGGCAATTAGAGCAGAAGATCAATTATCTGTACCTCACTTATCTAAATGTCCTAGTTATCCAAATGCACTATATATACTGAATATGTATATGCAAGTCAGTGTAATC